GAACACAATGATTGGAAGCGCTTCTTCCCTCCTTTTATAGCAATCAATCTCCACTTACAATCTAATTAGTATGATAGTGATTTCACCTGACTAGTACTCATTCACACTTTCACATGTGCTGCTGATATGATTAGTCAATTAATGTTAGCATTTTGTGTCAGGATAAAAAAACAGTGAAATTAGTTTTTTTGTGTGAAACGTAAATTTTTTTGGCCAATGAAGCTTTTAGCAATTATTTAAAATGCATCTGATCACTCTACACAATAATCTAGAAACAATGAATGAACACCACAAAAGCTTAAGCAGCAAACTTTGCAAAACACACAATTTATGTCACTGCCAAAACTTTTGGCCATGACTGTATATTTATATATATTTTATTTTTATTTTTATTTTTTTGAAGTACAATGTGAGTGAGCAGAGGATGATAGCAATTTAAATATACAGCATTCTAAATATAGTTGTAGAATTACCCATTATTATTGGATTAAATATTAATATTATATTATGTAAATATTAGTCATTTAAATATATTTAAAGTTAAATCTTGGCTATTTATGTAGAAGTACAATGTGAGTGAGCAGAGGATGTGTGACAGCATTTTAAATATGTACATATAGAATTAGTATTGTTAAATTAATATTATATTATGGTAACATTATTAATAATGTAAATATACCTAATGATATATTTTTAACTATCTAAAGGTATGTTTTTTCCTGTCGTTTTTCTTTAGAGTTGAGTAGAGTTAGGATTTTTCTTATCTTTGTCCTTGTGTTAGAAATCAGTCAGGTCTATCCTTTTCCTTGTGAGAGCAGACATTAGCCCCGCCATGTCTCCGGCTTTTGAAGAAAGATTAAGCATGTTTTTGCGCTTGGGTAATTCAGTCATGACACAGAGATTGTGCCGCTGATTGGAGGAGAGCCTTGGGCACTGTCTTCTGTGATACAGATTCAGATATGATTTTTAAAGATGTTTTATTTCGATCCTTAAGCATATTCTTCTTGAGGTTAATCTTGCCTGTCACTGGGTTTAGAAGATGACCAGAAAAGGCTTCTTTGCCTGACCTTTATCTACCAAAGGCAACACATCTCCAAAAACTGCAGGATATTTGGGCCCTTGTGCCCAACTTAGAGCAGAAAAAAATTTAAAACCGTTTTGTCTATGCTATTTAACTGGATTTCGTGCTCACGGCCAGCCTTTGTCATGCTCCGGGGAGAGCTGGTGCACGAGTCATTGTCTGGCTCACTCTTCTTTCAAATTGTGCTGCTGAAACTGGGAAAACAATCAATGTTAAAAATCACTGAGTGAAGCAGCCTTAATGGAGTTCATTTTTACAATAGAAAATAGAAAACCATCGCTGTGGATATTAAATAAGCCAGAAATATTGATAGCTACACCATGCAAACAGTTTCACCGATGTGCAGTTCAGCAGCTTGAGGGAAATTAAACAATCCGTGGTGGCGGTGGTATGAAATCACTACAATATCTCGTGTCAATAATTGTGTTATTAGAATTAGAGTGACCTTTTCTGTCCGGCACACCAGCTAGACAGAAACTGGAGGCCGGTGGCGCTGCTTTCCATGGATTTAGTGCTTGTGTGCCCTGGAGAGAGAGAGAGAGAGCTTTGGAAAGGAACTAATGCAGGGGAAGCTTCAAAGCAAGAAACTTTCACTCAGAGCCTTTCATGCAAATAGTTTGAAGATGACAAGGGGAGAAATGGAAGGAGTCTCCATAGAGCAGAGACAAACAGGTGGATATTCCTCTTACAGAACTTCTGAGCGGACCGCTCTCTCTCTCTCTCGCTTTAGACCAGGCTGTCCATCATGGACACAGCAATGTTAGCTCTGACAGGGTGTAATTTGGACAGATAGAAGGCCAACAGATCACTTTTTGTTGATAGAAGAGGTCAAACAGGAAAGCATCAAGTGCCAAGAAAGTGTGAAATCTGTGGGTCAAAGTGAAGTCACCGTTCACTCAGCATCCAGTCTATCCAAAGTGCCGTAAGAGCCGGTGAAATTGAAAGAGTGGAATCTGAGGGTTATTGTGGGCGACTTTGACATGGTTTCAGCGAACTAATCTTTCACCCTTTGAATCCACGGGGACACTCAGAATCTCTGTGTGTGGATTTTTTGTAAATTCCTTGGCCCTTATGCATGACCTGCCTCCAACACAAGGTCTGCTGCTTATCCTGATTCATGCATACTAATGACTCTGGACTATTTACATTACAAACCCGCTGTTTCATCTATCAGTGCATGTCTACTGTTTAACCCACATTGTTTGCCAAAGTGAGCGAATGATGTCATTAAAGTTGCACATGGGAGCAGCTCTAATTTCTCCACCACGTCAGTGGAACGTACACACAGCGCTGTCGCATAAGCATCTGTGCAACGCCACTTCAAGCTCTATTACTGGGAGAATATTAGATTTGGGTTCCTTTGAGAAACTAGAGGGCTGGATGCTGGCCAGCATTGGAATGGAGCGTAGGACTGGAAAGGCATAGCTCAGCCATTACAGCCTGTCAGTTTGAGAGGATGAATACCTCCAAGGAAACAGCAGGAACCTCAGAGCAGTTTGGCAAGGGCTTGGCAAGCACACCATGGCCTCATATGAATCTTGGGAACTTTAAAGGGATAGTCCATTAAAAAACGAAAAATCTGTTGTCATTTACGTTTCAAACCTGTAGGACTGGCTTTCTTTTTCATTTTCTGAAAACCGTGTTTTTGTCCATATAGTGAAAATCAATGGGGTCCAACTGACTGTTGTTCGGACCCCATTGACTTTCATTGTATGGACAAAAAGAGTTCTAAGTATCTAAATATCTTCTTTTGTGTTCCACAGAAGAAGGAAAGTCATACAGTGTTGGAATTACATGAGGGAGAGTAAATGATGTCAACAGAACAGAAAGAGTTGCAGAGGAAGAGAATGAACTGAGAGCGATGAATTATTCACAATGAGACCAGAAATATGCATTAAGAAAGTTAATAGGGTCAGTTTTGATTTCAAGTTCACTACAAGAGGGGTTAATGGTGCTGGTATGGTCACTGATTGCCCTATATGTCTTATAATAGAATTACTATTGGCAATGACTGTGCAGACTGATTTTTTTTTTCTTTGTTTATTTTCTTATTGTTTTTTCCCCTTTTTATTTGGCACACCTAACTGTTGTTCCTTGCATCCATTATGCCTAATAAAAGGCCAGTAACACTTTCTTGCCTTTCAGTGTTTTTCATGCTCAATTTTTTTTTATGTCTTTTACGGTTTATTTTCTTGCTGCACTCATTAGCAATCAGTATAACAAGAAGGTAGTCATTTCTTGTTTTTGTCTGTCATGTGCCAATATATAGAAACACTACCTGGGAAACAGGAACCTTTTTAGTATTTGCCTAATATTAGACACGTTCTACAAAAGCAGCAGTGTGACAGCCTTGTGTAGTCCATTGAATGCCTAGGGTCCTTAATGTCTTCTATGATTTTCTTACATAAGCTGTTTGCCATTAAGACATTCCTATTAGACACCAGAAATGGATACACAGGTGTAAAATGGTTATGCAAGGAGTTTACACAAATGTGGAGCAAGTGACTGGCCCACGTGAATCTGTATGTCAGATCCTACCCTCCGATGGTATCGAGACACACAACGCTGGATACTTTGACGTGAGAGCGTTAGTTATATGTCCGACGTCAGTTTGAATGTCACCCCTCCTGCTGCACTGTACAAACACAGCAGGAAGTCTAATCCCAGCTGAATTGGAAAAGAACTGAGACTTGCCAAGGAGAAGAGCACATTTCACGCTGAATGTAGCAGCTACGGCTGAGAAGCAAGGCTGATGCAAGGTGCAAAAAGCCAGCGGGCTTCCTGCTGCCAGTCACTGGAGAATAGAACCATTGAGCGGCCAGTCGTTTTAATAGATATGAGAAAGGGCAGTACTTACGGATCAGAAAGGTCAATGCTGAAAGCACCTGAATATGGGCATTGGTGATGTCATGACTTCTGACTGTATACACGGCAAACATCAGGGTGTATCGATTATGTTTAAATGACTCTAAAGGTTCATTGAAAAAAAAGCATGCACACATTTTGTATCAAACAATGGTAATGCTAAAGAGTCAAATCAAATGATATTGGAACAATCCAATAAGTGTTGAACAAAGCCAAGGCTGTTTAAAGTTCCATGCAGCCCGAGGGCACAAGACGCTGATGTGCTTTACTTTTCTCCTCCACAGATAAACCTGAGGTGACGATCAAGGTGGAGTTTCCGCAGGGCCTGATAAGAGAGGGCGAGAATCTGGAACTGACGTGCCAGGCTAAAGGCAAACCACAGTAAGAAACCTTTCTCTTCTGTGTGTTCCATTTCTGACAATATTGGCAACTTTTCAACTTTTACGGTTTGTTCTGATATGGATGAGTCTGGGTCATGGGCTTTCATCCACAATGAGAACAGTCCTCTACCAAAACCCATAGGCAAACTTGTGAACGCCATCACAAAGCATTTAGTGGAATTAATTATACAACATTTCTGGTCCTGATCTACTTGGACAAGCGGCATTCCAAGGTATTTTGTGATATTGCTTAATTGGATTCAAGCCATTTAATCAAAAAAAATTATTTTAGTCTTAAGGTACGAGCTTTAATTTAGTTTGCCTACGCAATGAAAATGAGAAGGATGCTGGGCAAAATCTCAGCTGAATTTGATTGTGCACATGTGCCACAATATTTTTGGCTTTTTACTTTTGACCATTAATTGCTTTATCTGGCATACAACATAAACTTAATAATTGTGTTTGAATTTAGTAGAGTACTTAACTAAATAAAACATGTTCAGAATTAAATTAAAGCCAAAAGAAAAAAATCATGTAGTAGTCTCAATTGTGTGTGACAGAATTTGAAATTTGGTTAAAAATTTGCCAAAAAAAAAAATGTTGCATTTGTTAAATTGAATTAATTAAATTGAACACGCAGCAATTTCTTGTTACAAAGCTGAAATAAATGTTTAAAAGCTATATTATTTTCCAGCAAGATTAATAATTTATTTAGATTATGATAATCAATTTACATACGCCCTTGTTGAAAAGTATACAGTGGCTCCAAAATATGATTTTTCTTTTTTATATATTTTGTCCAAAAATATCATTTTATTTCTTTATTTATTTTTACAGATTGGTTGGTTTGATATCTAATGCAGTGAAATTCATTCAATTCAATTCATTCATTTTTACATGTCCAAAAGTGTCCAAATATTTTCTGTGGTCATTGCACATGAGCCTAAAGTGAGTTGTCAGTGTGTGTGTCTAGTGTGAGCGCATGTAATAAAAGCCATTCCAGTGTTTTTACATTCAACAAGCCCCATAACATCCCCAAACTGAAATGCTGCGGGCAGACGAGGCACCACCTGAATTCATTTAATAAAGACGAAAATACAATCAATACAGTGAGCAGAAAATTGGAAGTCATTTTCATTAAAGCTTGGAGAGGGGCTGCAGTCATTACTGTCAGACAGTGCAGGGCTTGGCTTGCCATCCCATTTGTATTCTCCGCCTCACGCCAGGTTCTCTGCAGCCCCTCCACTGTGTGTTTTTCCCCATGCCTTCCTCAATAAGGCACTTTTTCTAGGTCATTTCTCCCTTTCCATATCAGGAACGTCTGCATCTTTATGCTACGCATGTATATTTAACCTCAGACTGAGACTCTTTGAGATTCCACACTCGCTGCTCGCCATCAAATGTTGTTTTGCCGTCCTTAGAGGCTGTGGATCAACTGCTATTGAATGCGAACCAGTCCTTTGTTTCGAAGCTGTGAAGGTTTTTTTTTTTTTTTTCCCCTCTCTCCCCTTTTAAACAGGATGGTAACAAGTTTAAACACTGACACAAAAACTAGAACAACAAGGGAAAGCCTCCTCAGATGCTCTTGGGAAATAACTACAGCAGTGCCATTGAAACTTGTGAGAGCCGAGCAGAGTTTAGAGCCTCTTTTATATTTCCACAGTGGGTTTAGCTAATTCTGCTCGTCACTGTGAAAGTAGAATAGGCTGTTGTGTGCCCAGCTCAGGTGTTTAGAGAACAAAAGGAGATAGCTCACAGTGGCAGTTAATTGAGGCAGACAAGAGAAAATCACAGCCTTTCACTTTTTGTTACTTCGCCAAAATGTAGTTTATTTGCCAGTGCCATAGGCTGCGACATTGGTTGAATCCCACAATCTGTGTAACTGACCGCAACTGATTCAGTTTTTTCTGAGGTTAGGGCCATAGCTGTTTTTAGTCTCAGACAACGCAAATTGCACATATTTACAGGATAACATATTGCACACAAAAACCAAAAGTCTGATTTACTGGTCTCAGCACTTATGAGAGTCACGATGCGCAGCAATTTATACTTCTAAAAAATTAAATCATGTATATAAGCTCCCAGACTGCTACACAATTGTTGTCTCCAAGGAATTACTAGCATGGTTCCCACACCTTTTGATCAATAAATACTTGGGATTTTTAAATTCTGTAGTGATTTCAATGTTGGATAGCCTCACACGGGGCACCACTAAATGTAGTGAATTTAGATCTAAGTAGCACCTCCAGTGCAATGGCTTTGGGCTTAAATATTAACATTAATATTTAGTTTTGGTCACACTATTTTACAGGTCACAAGCCAAAGAATTTCGCCTTGACAATAAAGAACAATCATGGAAGTTTGTTGAATAAATAAGAATTACATAAATTCTAGGAAGTTGTAGTCTGACCAATCTGCAGGATTTGAGGGATATCGTTAACTTGTAGAGCCTCATACTGAATAATCAACACAAGGAAGACACAAGTGTAATAAAAGGGGTTTTATTAACAAAGGGATAGAAAAGAGTAACTAACAATTACCAAATGAATGGATAAAGTGCAAAAGATTGATAAATGCAAGTGATTGAGTTTGATGTAACTATGGACATTACACGTTATCTTATAATAAGATAAACTAAAGTTTCCTTGAAGTAATAAGGTAAACCTTATTCTAGATTCAACAAAAAAATCAAGATATTATTTATTAACTAATATCAGTTATATGAAATCTAATGCAAATTAGATGATCATATACTGACATTACACACTAATGCCAACGGTCTCTTGAAAGAGGTTTGGAAAGAGTGATATTTACGTTGTGCCTGGTCATGTGCCGAGTCTGAGTGGCGACGTCTTCCACTCGTTGATCTGGGCCATGTTGCAGTGGGAAGAAAGGAGTCTGATCCGTTTCAAAGTCGTGAACACGAAGCACTGGTGAACGATGAACTCCTGTGCACCGAGAAGGTCCTTGGTCTGGAAACACGCAAATGGAGGAGCCTTGAAGGTGAAGGTTCTAAAGTCTGTACAGAAGATCCGGACAACCTGGAACACCCTGGAGAAGGATCGCTAACAAGATGATTCTGACATTGGTGGAGAAGATCCTGGCAGTCTGGAACACGCAGACGAAGGATCGCTGAAGAGAAGGTTCTAAAGCTGTTGCAGAAGATGGGGGGGCACTAAGCTTGTGGTCGTCGTTGTTGCTATTGCTGTTTCCAAACTCCCCAAATTCACTTCTTTCAGAACTTCTTTGTTTCTCCTTGGAACACCTTAGCGTAGCAACATAGACCTTAGCAATTACAGTAGACAGTAACAACAGCATAGCACATAGAGAGTGTCTTTGTCTCAGGAAGAATCTTTTATTTTTTTTTCGAGAAGGAAGAACTTGCAAGTTGGCGCCTTTCAGATCCAGCATTTTGTTTGGCCGATGCTGTCAGAGGTGGCCGATGCTGGCATGAGGTTTATTTGCATAGCTTAAAGTCCACGTTTAGAACAATGTCTTAAAGGTTTCCAGATTAACCTACACATTGTGCTGAAAACATGAAGACCAAACATCAATGGGTAATGCTGAACATTGACCCATGCATTCTTACCTTAATAGGTAAGGTTGGATATATTATTGTATCAGAAATAGCACTCATCAAGTATATACAGTTCTGTAAATGGATTTTGTGTCCATTAAGTGTGAATGCATGTGAAGATCTGCTCTTCCTTTGCCACATGGCAAAACTTGTTTCTCGAATTTACGAAGAGTAAGGAAGAAAAAAGCAGTTCCTGAGCGGGTTTACTGTATGTTAATATTAACCCCCCTCTCCACAAGAATTAGTGTTGTTTATCTTAAGGACGGGACACACCAAGCCGACGGTCGGCCGTTGGCCATCGTCGGGTCGACAGCGAGCACCGGTCGGGCTAGTTTGTTTGGTGTGTTCCGCTCGTCGGCTCACGTCGGCGGCAGTTTGCCCGATTCAACATGTTGAATCAGCGTCGGGGCCGTTGGTACCGTCGACGCGAGTGAGGGCTCTGATTGGATGTTCAGTTTAGCGAACGAGTCAGTGCCCGAGA